TATTTGCTAGTAAATTATACCTATGGCTCATAAATGCATCTCTCTACTTTTTAACACCATTTGGAAAGCTAACACGCATCTGACACGTAGCATGGTCAAAACAGAGCTTTTAGTCTTCTGCACTCCCAGTCTTTTCCATATTAGTTAATAGTACCATCAACTAAAATTAATAAACTAGTTTACTTTCGTTAAGTCAAACTCCTAGGACTTTTATACCTGTCTTTCTTCATCTCCCATAACCAACCAATCCATCAGCAATACAATCTGTTAATCCCAACATATTTTCTGAATCTGTCCACTCCTTTTCCACATTAGTATGGCCCTGATCTGAGCCTCTTTCTCTTACCTGGACGATTAAAACAGCCACCTACTCTGCTTCCATTTGAGGAAAGAAAGAAAGAAAGAAAAAAGAAAGAAAAGAAAGAAAACAGCCACCTAAATGAGATCCTTGATTCTGCTCCCACGTCCTTAAAATGCATTACCTACAAGGCAGCCAGAGATATTTAAAAATGTAAATTAGACAATAACAACAACTAACACTTAATTGAAATTCTACTATATGCCAAGCACTGCACTTTTTACACGAATTCTTTAATCCTCCCAACAATCCTATGAAGTAAGTGCTCTCATTTCTCCTATTTGTTTTTACATGAGGAATTAGGCGCACCATAGTTAAGCCAATTTGCCCACGGTCAGAGGGTTAGTAGATATGAAGCTATTACAGATTTTTCATATTCACGGTCAATCTCCAGAGCCCCACCCTTAATCACTCTGCCGTTAAACCAAATACTTTACCATGGCCTGCAGTGCATTTCCCTATCTTGGGACCTCACTTTATGCCACTCTCCTGCACAAACTCTAGTTAACACTGTCTTTGTTCCTGCTTTAGGGGTCTCTGTTATTGCTATTTCCTCATTTTTCATTTCTAGGCCCCAGAGCAAGTGTCATCTCATTTGCTTCCTTGAAACTGTATTTTAAAGTAGCTCCTACTAAAAAGACTTAACCACTACATGACATTATCACGCATACTTGTTTGTTTGAAGTCTGTTTCTCTATGACCTGAATGTAAACTTATTGAGAGTGGGGGACTTATTCATCTAGTTTATTGTATCTCCACAAACATATCACATGTTCAACAAATATACTTGAATAAATGAACGACTGTTCTGCAACACATTTTCATGGGGCAATGTGCTCTTCTGATGTGGATTTAAATGTTTTCTATAAGAATTTCTTTTACAAATACTCAAATATATTTAAACGTTTAGTTTTTGTTTTTTAGAAACTTTATTTATGCACATATTGGATTTGTCTTCTACCTATATTATCTTCTTATTGACCACTTCTATATCCACATTTGTGATTGTGTTTTTAGCCCTTTCTACTTTTTATTACTTATTTATGTGACTTTAATTTCTGTGACAGGTTTCCTTCTTTCCTGAGCTTCTTTGTATTGTCTTATCTTCTCTTTTTCAATCTTTTTTATCTATTTGAATTTTTATTTAATATCTCTTACAGATTATTAAAACTATTTTTCCAAATTTTTCTTCTGTTTCCTGAATTGTTTGGATCTATTTTTTGTTTATTTTCCTTTCTTCTTCTCTGCCCCTCCCCCATATGTAATATATTAGTTGCAGACCTGTGTAGTTATTCATCTTTGAATAATTTTCTTTAGTTCTTGCTAAAAAATAGTGCAGCAGGTGACTGGTGCTGAACTTGGCATCATCTGGAATTTCAATTCATGTTTGTTGTATGAACATTTTCTCACCAAATCTGTCATGCTTTCTGCCTTTGGGGTACTACAAGCAGGCTTCCAGGTAATTTAGGAGGTCAGTGCGGCTATGAGTAAAGTTCTTTGAGCCTTAGAGTTTAGAAATATGCTTTACTTTTTATACATGGAAAATTTCTCATTTCTGTAAGTAGCTAAATTTTATGGTATACTGTCATTACATTTATAGATGTGTTTCCCAGGAAGAGGGGGTAAGCATTGTGACCAGGTTAAGAACCCAGGTTTCTGATCCTGGATCTGCCATAAATGAGCTGGATGACTTGAAAGTGATTTAATTCTCTTACCTTGCTTCTTTCCCTCTTCCTGCCTTACCTCTGGCAGCCTCCATGTACAGGAGACTAGTCTGTCAATAATTAAATAGAATGCGACTATTTTCCCTTTCACTCCTACCTCTCTTGACACTGCAATGTAGAACTGGATTGCTATAAAACCACTCCATACTTCTCTCATTCCCCTGTGTCTCTGATGTTCTAATCAAAGACTGCTGGGTAAACTTTTAAAAATTTGGACTGATTCCAAATGTCTAAAAAAGAAAATTTAATGATCTTGGTAAAATTTTTCTATTTATTAGATTTCTCGATTCATTTATTTGTTTAAGACATAATTACGAGGGCATATTATATTGCATAGTCAAGTTTCCATTTATGATTAAGTTTATAATTTTATTTAGAGAGGTTTTAGATTTCCTGTATAACTTTAATTCCCTTGCCTATAACAGTTCTAGTTTCTGTTGCAGTTGACTTTTTGGGTAATTTTGTTGGATTCCAATATCATATACCTGGCATTTTAATTTATTTTTTTGTGTGTGGTGTTATCATTCATTCTGACTTTTGTAAACACTTTTTTATTAATAATAGTATTTTGGCATTTTAAATGGAATTTCAATTGTAAAAATATATTGTCTGCATGAAACGTTTCTACAAAGAGTTCTCTGATGATCAAAAAAGTTTTTGAAGACGTTTCAGCTATAAGCATGGTATTTAGTAAAGCTTGAGGATCAGAGAAGTTTCAGAACTTTTATCTTTTGTATTGCTTTGTAACAATGAAAAACTACAAATTTCTAATTGTGCCCTGGATCTTTTCTTTGAAAAAGTCAGTTCACAGGATCATGGAATATTAAAGCCTGTACTCCCTCCCTATCAATCATGTGGACTTAAGTTTCTCACTCTATACAGATGAGAAAATGGAAGGACAGACAATTAAATTACTTTGAAGTCATCCAGCTCATTCATGGCAAATCGAGGACCAGAAACTTGGGTTCTTAACCTGACCAAAATGCTTACCCCCTCTTCCCGGGAAACATACCTATAAATAAATGTATGGCAGTATATTGTAAAATTCAGCTAGTTACAGAAATAAGAAATTTTCCATTTGTAAAAACTAAAGCACATTTCTAAGTAGTCTAGTCAGATGAAATTAGAGCACTCATACACAAGTAAATTAAAAAGAGAAATAAATGAAAATGAGTTTCATAAAAAAGACATAAAAAGACATAAAAAAGACAGGATGGTTAAGAATGTCGATTTCCCCCCTTCTATATATGTTAGCATTTTGCCTTGTACTGGATTTTGAGAAACATATATATTATGATTTAGGATTATAGGTTAATCTTCTGGGTTTACAGATGTTAAAAGAATGGTGTTTTTGAAAGAACCACTGCATAACTAAACCTATGATTTAGGCCTATCTTTAACTTATTAAATAGTGCATTTGAATGAAATATCTAACAAATGAAAAGAAACTATAAAATCCAATCATAATTTGATAAGTTGTTGCATACATTTTAAAATTAATTTATATTATGCTCGTAATTCAGGAATTTACTCTTTTGTAAAAAATGAAAATTGACAGATAAAGTTAAAATCACTTCAGACTAGTAACTTCTAATCTCAATATCTTCCCTGGAGGTAATTCTTTCTATGAATAGGGGTTTATCTTTTTAAATGTTTTACTGTGTATTTACTTGCTTGCATATGTGCCTACAGAAAACATATACTATCATTTACAATTTTCTTTAAAATATGAAACATTGCATTAAATTGTTCTATAACCACTTGTTCTTTCTGTATTAGTACATACACACATATACCTTATTCTTTTTAACTCCTGTATATTGCACAGCATGGATATGCCACAATTTATTTACCTGTGATGGACATTTAGATGGCTTTCTTTTCTTTTCTTTTTGTTACTACAAACATGATTGTAGTAAACATCTTGCATTTTTTTTTCCTGTGGTAGATTTATTTTTTCAAAACAGATTTATTGAGTTATAATTTACATGCCATAAAATTCCTGTGTTTTCAGTGTACAGCTTAACGGTTTTAGAAAATCATAGGGTTGTGTAACCATTGCCACAATCCAGGTTTGGAGCATTTCCATTTCCCAAAGGGATCCCTAGTGTCCATTTATAGCCACTCTCTATTCTGACTCCTAGCACCAGGCAATCACTAATAGATTTGTTTTTAAAAAATCTTATTTTCATATAACTTTCAAAAAACCCCAGTAATCTTCAGATTTACAATCCTCTGAAAAACACCCATGTTTCTCTAGTATTGGAGGTTAGTAGGGGAGCCACAGGTTCTTAATTAAAGCAAGGAGGAGAAAGGCTGTGTAGTGGGCTGCAGTGTCTCAGGTGACAGTACTTTGGAAAGAAGTGCTGAGATAATGTATACTGTGGTCACAACCAGCTTACATGGCATGAGACTTTCGCAGGTAACAAAAATCCCAGCCCTACTTCTTCCCTTTATAAATGTATTAACTGAGGTCTAAATATGTTTAAAAAAATATGGCCAAAGTCACAGAGATGTCCAGCCTAAAATAGGGGTCTGGAAATTATCTGCCCCTTTAGATACTCTCCTCATTCATGAAATGACACAAAAACAAGACCATTACCTCATATTTTTATTTTGCTACATGAGGAGAGCTGTTGCAAGTAGTTTTTCTATACTTCTAAATTTAGTATTTTACATTTACAGGACACGGCAGGATTATGAAAAGAAAAGAGCATATATTCTTGAGCAGGCATGACTGCCACAATCCTGCACCTATTATATTGGCATGCACCCTGAGACAGAAGAAAGCTAGCTACAGCACAGCCTTGACACAACTGGAAAAATAACTGGCTTGCACTTAAGATGATTTGAGAATAGGGCCATCAATGTGGCTGGAGCGGGGCATTACACAAGCACACGTCGCCCGCACAGCTCACCTATGCAGCCTTCTCCGTCGGGCCTCCGGGCCATGCCAGGGGGGCAGACGCACATGAAGGTGCCAATCAGGTTCTTGCACATCATGCCTCTGGACTCACAGTCGTGCAGCCCTTCCGCACATTCATCTAGATCTGCAAAATGTTTTTAATAGGAGAAAAACAAAAACAAGAAATCTCAGGAGCACGCTACTGCTTAGTACTTTTAAGTCATATGTTTGGTCTTCTGCTTTTAACATGTAATATTATAGTGTGACAGAGAAAGGAGCAGCCCAGTCTTTTTCAACTGTTGGCTATTAATCCACATGTAATATTGCCGTGCCAGCACTGGACCCAATGATAAGAAGTTCAGGGAAGGGCAATCTTTGCTTTAATAAGAGTCCAACAGTGTGAGGACAGCAGGTTCCTCAAATCATCTTCTTTTTCATTTATTTGATTTTTCAAAAAAAATCAGGTCTTCCTACCTAGGTATAGAAATCTACCAGGAAAATGCTATCTCATATGCTTCTGTAAAAGCTCTCAAAAAAGCCAGCTTAGAACTATTAAATTGTTAAAACAGATCTCATGCATGGCAAATAAAGTTCTAACTATTCCCTTGCCCTGTGGCCTTACCTTTACACATCTTTTGATCTTCCCTGAGGGCATAGCCAATCGGGCACGTGCATTCATAGGATCCAAACGTGTTCATGCAGCGGAAAGCACACAGCAGTGGGTTCTGGGCACATTCATTTATATCTGATCAAAGAAATGGACAGGCACATGCTCAGCCTAGAGTTCTAATTATTTGTTTAAAAAACATGGATGTATTTACTTTGGTATTCATACAGAAAGCAACAGGATAATAGAACTTCCATTTCTAGTATGTAGAATTTGGTAGGGAGCAAACTTGTCCTCTAAGAAATAAGAGCTATAAACTCTGGAAAAAAAATACAAAAAATACCTGAAGGTTTTAGCTGTGAGTTGAAACTCAGAGCAAACCAGCAAGAAGTAATTCCATACTGATTTTTTCTTTTCCTGGAATTACTTTGCTGATGACCACTGTCCTGGCAGTGGCAGTACCTGGCAGCTAAATCAAACAGAAACTTTTCTGAGATTCTGTTCAGAGGATGTGGGGGAGGGAGCCTTGGGGTAACCAAGGCTGGTGAAGAGAGGGGAACCCTGGAAAAGAGAGGGCCAGGGGAGGAGAAACACTTTTTTTCCCATATATTCAGCCTAAATTGTGGTACCATGGGTGTGTGGTGCAAAATCAAGGAAGCCAGCCACTAGGATTTAAAGAGCAAAACTGAAATACCAGCCATTACCCTCCACAGGCCTGGTAGTCTGCTATTGTGTAGACCCAAGTTAAGTGTCTGCTAAGCTAGAAGCATCAACATTCTTCAGAGTAAAAACTGATTCTAGAACATATCATTCATAATATCCAGGGTATAAATCCAAAATTAACCAATATGCTGAAGAACCAGGAAAATGCGACCTAATGTCAAGGGAAAAGATAATCAATAGATGTCAACCCTGAGATGACCCAGATGTTGGACAAGGGCTGTAGAACAGCTACAGTAACTGTGCTCACCAAGGTAGAGAAAAATAAAAAAATACATATATATATAATCATCAGAAGAATATCAGAAGCAACATAAATAAAGATTGAGGTATTAAAAATACTTTACATATCAAGAAGAAATAATAACACTGAAGGCAAAGATCACTTGCCTTCACAGTTCATCATGGGCCCTGGCTCAAAGCCTTCATTGCAATTGCATTCAAAACTTCCAATAACATTGGTGCATGTACCATTTCCACATGGATTGCCGATTGAACACTCATCAGTATCTGAAAAATAAGAATAAGAATGTGCCACAAAGACGTTTCAGTTTAACAAGAGCTGCCCATGAACAGCCACACTAGCCCTCACATATTTCCAGGATCACAGGAGGGCACATGTGACCCTTGCACCCCCTTAGCCTTGGCTGGCTGGCTGTTATGCAGTACAAAGGACCCTGAAAGATCAGTGTGCAATGCTCTGACCCACAGATAGTAATGCTTGCACGACCTAGGTCACAAATCCAGAAGAGGGATGTGGTCCTCTGCTTCAAGAGCAGGCATGGAAAGTCATAAAGTAAAATGGATCTCTTTCCCAGTTAGAGGTTTTGGCAATTCTAATACTCTAGACACATTAAATTTTGTATATTTGGTTGAAAACAGAGGTTGGGCATCAGGTTGGACTGGAAAATACAGGCCTGGTGAAGAAAAAGCCATTACTAGCTACTTATCTTGGTTTTGTAAATCCCGCCACCACCCAGGGTGCCCAAGGGACCTTTTGCTGAATGTGAGAAGTAGAGAAGAACTTCAAAGTTGTGCAGTGTAGCCCCAGCACTCACCCACACAGCGCACTCCTGTGTAATCAAGGTTGTAGCCCATCGGACATTCACAGCGGAAAGACCCATCGGTGTTGATGCACTGGCCATTTGAACAGATGCCTGGGCTCTCAAGACACTCATTGACATCTAAAACACAGAACGGCCTGTGAACTTTCTCATATAAGAAGATATGCCAAGATTGTATATATCTTTTCAACCCAGACATAAAATTAATAAAACATGTAAATCTTTCCTTTGTCTGAGAAACATATAAAGTATTTCATATATCATGTCATGATCTTATGATAGATATAAACTGCACAGGGAACGTAAGTATTATGTATGTATTAATATATTGAATATAATATGCTACTTTTATAGTAAAATTAGCATAATTTATAAAATAAAGGAAAAATAATATATTTGTATTAAGTAAGACTATAGGAATAAAATGTATCAAAGCACACCTTCACGTGTGTCATGAAGACTAGGGACAGTTCCGTGGCCGTATGGACATAAATCCTGGAATGCAACTACAGAGAAAAACACAAATTCTCCATTATTGAAGAGTCTCAATTATCAGAGAAGTTAAGACCTGATTAACAATATACATGAAATTGTACTTAATTATTTTTCCTCTGCAAAACTGCAAATAAAAGACACGAGTCTTTTATTTTTTATTATTTATTTCAAAAACAACTCTGAACATATTTAGTAAAGCTCGCCCGAGCTTGTCCTTCAAGGCTGCCACCTACTGAGGGCTCTGGGTTCTTCCTGCGTCCTCATTTGAAGGAGAGGGACCAAAGAGCCCTTCCTGCCCATCATTCACGGAAGCCACCCCTCACCTGGAGGACAAGCCTGTTGGAGCTTGCTGGGAATGACACTATAATCCACCAGGCTAACAAAGCCTGTCAGGCTGTTGGTCTCTTCCTGGCAACAGCTATCGAGCTGGCTCAGCTTCTCGGAATCTTATGTAAAATTCTGAGAGCCACAGCCATGGGACACGATGCCCATGTGGGACTCGCACAGCAACTGGGCCTAATTTCCATTCCTTCTTCCATCGCCTGCCCTGCACCCCTCGAATCCATTCGTTTGAAAGCAAATAATACTAACATTGAGAGGAAAAATGAAATTAAAGGTTAACTCCACCTGTGCTTATACATGTTGCTTCAAAAGTTGAAAGAAGTCCCTCACACTAGGTTGCTCACTGAACCATCAAAACTTATAATGGAGAGGATGATTTCACTCTCAAAACATTCATAAATTACATGGTCAAAGCGACTCTGGAAATATTCACAAACCAGTGACAAGCGGTGTTTTATGTTGTCACTCTTACCTTCGTCGTCTTTGGGGCAGAGCTCACAAGGGTCCCCCCAGCCCTCTCCTGGCATCTTGCTGCAGCAGCACTTTGCTTTTGTGGTGTTGAAAGCTTTGGGTACAGAACACTTCCCATTTTCAAAATTTGTGAAGCAGAAGCTCTGGCGAGTATCTAATCAGGAAAGCACACAAAGTGCTCCTTATTAGTCATTTAAAACTCTTTTGTGTATGAATTTATTTATGACTCTGTTTCTGACTAAACATTTGTCATGGGCAGAACATATGATGCAGACTAGATTAGCAGTAAAGAATTGTCTGGAAATACTCCATTGTAGATTTCATTTGCCAATTTAACTTGACCTGTCTATAAAATTTTATTCAATTATTTAAAATGCTTAAAATATTTTTATAATGTGCTTAGGAAATTTGAGAAATAATGCTCAATGTCAAAACGATTATCACAAGGAATCTCTTTTTTTTACTGTTACATTATCACTTAATAAAAGCAATCTAGGTAACTTTTAGTAAGTTATGTCACATCAAAAGCAACTCATACACCAAAATATGCAAAAAAAATATTTGCCAACAACAAAAGGAAAACAGTCAATCTGGTGAATCAGGATAACAATTTTTCTTTTAGTATAAAATTAAAAAAAATGCAGTAACAGTGACAATAATTCAAAGAACTTTAAAAAGTATCCATTGCATACACTTTTGAGACCTGTATTTTTAATTTTCAGATGTATTTACCACAGACATGCAATTTGTCATGACAAACACTAGCATGAGGTTCACAATCTAGCTTTGCAGTTTCTAAGGGCTCACTATGCTGGAGAGGCCGTTCCAAAGCTTACCGAAGCATCTCCGTCCGTTATCAGACAGAACGAAGCCAGGCGGGCAGATGCACTGGAAGCCCCCTGGGGTATTGGTGCAAGAACCAAAAAGACAAATGTTGGGGTCTTCATCACATTCATTTATATCTGCAGAACAGAGGAAGAATGTATTAATGTATTAAATAAATACACTGTTTGATATTTGAAAATAATTATCCATATATCACAATAGTCCACTAGCCAGTGGATATTTAATATGAGACAAGAAATTACATAAACATATATGTTTAACTTATTCTTAAAAAATGAACTCTTATTGCTTAAAAAGTCAAAGATTATATCCAGTTTCAACCAATCACATGCCAGGGAATCCCAAGTCCATTTCCAGCTCCCTGTCCTTGACCCCTAGCTGTGTATGTGTGTATATCTAGCTGCCTACCTGACAAGACCAAGTCAACATTTCACATGCATCACAGATTTGCTCTGGCCAAATATGTTTTACTGACTGGTCCCTTCCCTCCTCTAGGTAATTCCAACTGGGACCCCGAGTCTCCCTTATTTCTTGCCCTGACCTTTTGGGCTCCATTTGTAAGCAGAATGTGCCCTGCCAGTTCTACCTCCTCAGTACTTCCAAACCCATCATCATCTGCCACCTGGATCACTGTAAGTCTCGTAAGTGACCTCCTCATCTCCCTCTCTTCTCTTCACATTACCACTGGGGTTGTCTTGCTAAAACATCCATCTGATTGTATTTGAAAATCTACACTGTACGAAACTAGAAGACTCAGACATTATTTTGAGAATGTTACCATTTCCCCCTGACCCCAGAATGGCTCCTTAAAATAAATAAGCATAACTTACCAGTGATTCTTGGCCATTTTTCATGGGGAGTTCCTATTTAATGGGTTATTTTAACTAAATGAATAACTATCACACGTGATTCCAGGCGCCTTAGAATGTATGCGCGGTGAAGACAAGGCGAGACGCCTGGCTTGCTGGTGCACCCTCAGCTCTTAGCACAGCGCCCGGCACATACTGAGCTCTCAATTCATATTTGCAGAAGTTTAAGGAATGAGTCATCTCTTTTCTTAAAAAGACAAAAAAAATCCAAAAAAGCCCACAATGGTTCCACACTGACGAAAGGACTAAAAAGTTCAACCTTCTGAGCCAGTCATTTGAAGTCCCTTACCATGCTTGTGCTACTTGGGCCTTAAAATAGCCTCTTCTGTACTCTTTCCTTCTTTGATTAGTAAATTCTTATCCAACATTTAAGAGTGACCTAGAACGTCCCCGATCCTTTGTGATGGCTTCCACAGCACGCCGCCCTCTTGCCACTGCCACGGTCTCCGCCCCTCCTGCGTGCTCCGGCACCCCCAGCACGCCTGCAGGGCACGCCTGTGGCGCCTGCCGCACTGCGCTGTGAGGGTGTCCTCATAAAACAGGCTTGCTTACAAAGTCTGTGCCTCTCACTGGGCAGTAAGTTACCTGAAGGCAAAAACTATATTTTTGTATTTCTAGCAACTAAAAAGGTGCCAAGTATTCATTGTAATACCCACTGAATGTCAGAACGGATTTATATGTGCGTGGGATGTGTGCATACGTGTCTGTGTGTTCATGTGGTCACGTTGAGAAGAATTTTACATGAGAAAAACTGGTAAATGAGATACTAGTCTGAAGAGAATATTCTTATAGTGAAGTAAGTTAGTTAAAAACCAATTTTTCAGAAATGCCAAATAGTGTCATTGCTAACAATGGATAAAGAAAATATTTCTGAAACTTAATAAAATGAAACTAAATCATAGATACAGAAACTTTCACTAAAAGAAAAGGTAGCCAAGACCACCTGACACAAAGAAGCATATGCGTGTCCGTTTCCCTCCTGGTGGCTAACACTGCTATTATTTGTCCACAAAAAAATGGAGCATGGAGACAACACAGAATCGAAACTAAACATGAAAAAAGAAAATGGAAGGAAGACAAGATCTTAAACTTTTAAAGAAACTTCTTACTAAGATGATTCTAATATTATTATTTATTATTTTTAAGCATTAAAAACACTAGACAATCTTACAATGGACTATACAAATGAGACAGAAAATCAGAATGACTAGGGATACCCATAATATCTAACTATACGGTCTGAAACATAATTAAATCCTATGAAGCAGAATGCTTCCTTGGACTGTCTATGCAACCCCCTCAAATGTGAACCGCAGAGTCACACATCTTTAGATGAAATCTTGCCAAGGGAAACAGAATTTTAAAAAATGGATACCTTAAAGGCAAAAACTTCCCTCACAATCCTTTCACGTTAGAAAAACCACTCTAAGATGCTGTTGCTTCTGAATTTTAACAAGGCTATAAAAAATAATTTGTATAAAGTGAAATAAAGTGAACTGTGAGAAGGCCGGCCTTCACCGTGTCCACCAGGCAATTCTGGGACCCACATTTGATGTGGTTACAGTGTTCTTGTGAGCTGGAAGAGTTTCAACAGAAAAACATCTGTTATGATAAATGGATTAATATTTTCTGCTTTGACATGAGGCCTTCCTAAGGAAAAAATGTCTCAACAGCATTGTAAAGATTTTCTGCTCACATTTCTAAGACCCCAGACACCTGTAATAGCTGTTTTGAAATTGGGTGCCAAAGATTACAGTTTTTGTAGACACACTTTAAATTCAGTAGGAAGTCTCTGTTGACATTTGGAAAAAAGATTAGAGTATGCTGAAAATTTTCTGACTAGTGTAAGATTTCTGTTAATGAAAAATCCCACATCCCTAAGTTTTTCATTCCTGCCATTCCACCGTCAAATCATTTCTGATGGTTCAATAAAACAGATGTACACTGCTCTATGTTTAAGTCCTTAGGTTGGTAAGCTCGCAGTCACTGGGACTCGGCACATTTCCACAGAGTCTGCACCAAATCTTATTAAACTGAACAGCTCATGGACCTCAGAATCAAGCCAGTCTTACCAATGCAGTTCTCGCTTTTTACTTCGTACCCTGGGGGACAGATGCATCTGAACGATCCCTCCAAATTCTGACAGGTGCCAGGAGAACAAGAACCAGGAAGGGCAACACACTCATTTGTATCTTTAGAGAGAGGAGAGAAAAAATAAGTTAAACATGGCATAATTGTTGCATAGATTGAGCTGTCTGCCACATGATATTAACATGATATTAACAACAGGGGGCCTTTCATCTGCTGGGTCACCATGGACAAATATTTCCTGGGATATTCTTTTGACATCTGGGGTATTTCTTATTTGGCAAGTGGCTAATTTTCTTGATTTGTTTCCTTTGCCTACTTTTACTAAGACATGGACAGCCTCAAGCCTTGTCTCCATAAAAACATTGCCTATGAAACATTCCCCATTGTTGGCTTATATCTTACACCAAAACTTCCCATTATAGCTTATTTTGGGCATGTGATCTGATTATCAAATGAAATGTGCACAAGTTCCTAAATGGCAGGAAAGAGGAGATTCACATTGTCATTTTACAAAAATATACACCATAAAGACTGCTCATTGTTTGGATACTTACCTATACAGTTTTTGCCATCTGGAGTGAGTTCATAACCTTCATTACATAAACACTTGAAGGAGCCAATTTCATTAAAACACCGTCCGTTTCTGCACACCTGGCCAAAAAAGGAACTGCACTCATCTATGTCTGCAAACAAACAGGAATTAGCATTTCAGAAAGAGTTCCTACATGTTTATTGTTTCACAAGTTACAACTTAAAAACCTTTACTGGCATACATTTACAAAAAACCCTACATTATAATTCCTCACTAACACAGGGAAAAATGGCACATATCATAATGATCATGCAACTAATAGGATCACATGGATCACTGTGGTGTTTCAACCAAAAGATTCATTTTCGGTATTAATATAGCTCATGAATTTCAAAACAGATAAAAGTTAAGATTTAAGGTGAAGCTTTCCATGCTTTCCAAGTGAAAAATATTTTCCCCACAGGCAAGGGGTTATATGGGATCTAACTTGATTGCCTAATTTGTAGATACTTTGTTTGGAGATAAGTTGATCACATTCAAAGGGCAAATAAATGAGCATATTGAATACAGGGAAATCAATTATATTTAAAACACTCTAGAATCACAGACAGAGTATAGAATTCAAAGGAAAAAAGAACATTAAGTCTTAGGCTTTCAGTTAAGCTTAGAGTTGATTACAATTAAGTAATTTCTTGGCTTATGTGGAGGCTGTACTTTGATCAGAGCCATGTTTGTACCTTTTAGCTCACTCTGACTATACAAAGGGTCTAAGAAATTAGAGTCAAGAAGGTTGAGTAAAATGTCCAATAAGCTCTCAATTTTTTTCATAACTGCAGAATTTCAAAACATAAAGAAAACTTATGTTGGGTTAAATTAGGAGGCGGGGTTGAGCTGTGATGGTCCCACAATGGTAGAAAACCTGAGATACACTGCCATACCTTGCAGGGTGTCGTGAATGATGACACATCATGCTGTGAAGCACCAGTGTTGTGCATGGCATGTGGTAAACAAGGAATAAACATTTATTGTCATTTCTCTCATTCTCCCCCCACCTACTTCATGACTCTCTCCCACTCACTACCAGCTGTCATCTCACATTTGTGTGTTAGTGTGGGCCAAGGGCTAAAACCCTCTAACTGTGCATTAGAGAAGTTCCTGAGGGTTGATCTGTAAGACTATCACCATGCACTATTTTTGTGGAGAAAGGCATCCTGGCTTCAAAAGCTTATAGAAAACGAAATTTCAAGACATGACATCTTTGTAAGTAGGAAGCTACTGGTATTTGAATGTAAATCTACAATGGATTTATATAAAATATTTGTAATCACACTTAAACAATGAAAAATCTATCTTTGATCCCATCTAAGGGGTAAGAATACCCCAAACCATCTGTCAGTCCCAATATGTTTACTATCATCTGAATAATCTTTTCCTCTGAATTGATTGTTTTATTGACAAGCGTGCTTAAAATAGTACATTGTCTTGTTATTATTTAGGCCAATATTATGGTTTGGTTAACTAGAAACCAATCGATGATATTACACATCTTTTGGCACACATTTGTAATATAAATAATAAAACATTTTTTGTTCTTTGGTTTCATTTTTTATTTTGGTATTTTGTGTAAAAATGAAATAGAAGCAAAGGACTGACTGCAGTACTTACCCAGGCAATCATTATTGTGAGTGAGTTCAAACCCTGGGTAGCACAGACAGTTATAGGATCCAACAGTGTTTTTACAAGTTCCATTTCCACATGGATGCCGCTCACATTCGTCAACATCTACAAAGAAACATTGGCTCAAAGAAATTCAATTTTTAACTAGGAAAAAAATAAGCTATTAATAACTGTTACATTTTTAACTTAGATTTTCCTTATTCAGTACTAGGAACTCATATTTATTTGAAGAACATGACTATGAGGTAGAGAAAAATAAAAATAATAAAATTATAAGAAAAAAGTACAGTTTAATTCCTTATAGGCACAGATAATATCCACAAGTAGCCTAAGCAAGCATCCCCTCAGCAGATATGTTTTAATGAGAAAGTCTGTTTAGCAATCATAAATAAACTGATCTTTTGAAATGTTAAAATACTTTGTTCTAGTAAGCATTATAAATACTTACTCAGAAATTTACATCCCTTAATTTTATCAGGAAAACAAAGACAAATTTTAGTTTCTTTAATTTTATGAAGTAGTGGAATCCAAATTAGAGCTTATTAGAATTCAGTTAGCCTTCCAAAAAAACTGAATTAAGAAAATATTTACAAAGTCATTCATCATATGAGAAGGCAAACTCCCCAGACTATGAATTCCAGGCTGCTGAAACTCTATCGTGCACACACACACACACACACACACACAAAGGTACTGTTCCATAGGAAGGAAGCTCTATGTAAGGGAGGCCTTGTTGAGGAGTCTGACTGATTTTTATCATGGAAGAACTGTTATGAGTGGGGGAAGATTTTCCCCATATGAATTTCTGAACCATAAATCTCACATATTTTCTGGCAAATCAGACTCTCTCAGGGAGTACAGCAAGGAGAAGCATGTATAAGCAGGCATTCTCAGAAAGTTCATGCACATAGGACCAGATCCTATATTTTCCTTTGCCAAAATATCACCTAGAGAATTTTTCCTGTCATTGTGGAAGAAGTCCAAATGGGGGGGTAGGGCTCTTAGGAAGCAATGGACAAACTGAGACATTCTCCAGGTGTTCCTTGTGGTATGTGTATGTCATAAAGGAAGTCTGTTCCCCAGTACTGAAATCTGATTTTAAAATTCACCTAGATAGTATCTTGAATATCAAAAGAGTAGGTGCACAGCCCTAGGGTTTTTACACTGAGAACATGCTAATTATCAATAGCCAAGTTTTAAATTTAATTTTTCTCCTTCAAGTGCAAAGCACAGTGAGAGGACTCCAGCAAGGGCAGAGCCAACTGTTGACATCAGATGTAAGGAGTCACACTCAGTCCTATTCTCAAGGCATCCAGCCCAACTGCCTTTGGAAACTTATTAATCATCAGCTCAGCAAGTACTTACTGAGCACTAGTATTACCTAACTAACTGTTATATTAGCTACTGGGAATTTTTTAAAAGTTTGGCTATATTTGCTCCTAAAAGAATTTTTAATAGAACACAAAATATGCAAATAAATCCAATGTATTAAATTATTTGTGTAAAAAAGTATATATGTGTATAAAAATATTCATTTTAATACTGTCACTCTTACTACTCTCTTGCATTTCAAAATGCTTTATTGAGTTGGAAATTAGAGGGGTAGAGAGCAGCTGGTACAATGGTAAATTCCACATAACCCAGAGTGTGTGTCAAGTCATGCAAATGTCTTCTGGGGAAAAAGGTTGAGAATCACTGAACTCAAGAACATACTGTAGTACGTCCTTGCTTGCAAATTTTACATTGAATAAAGACTTAAACAGTCTGACATAGTTAACTTTCTGTAAGACTGTTTCTTCCAGAGACAGGGTAGCTACTCATGGCAATGATGGAATTATGATCTATTCTGGAGTCTCAGTCCCACTTCAGTCCCTGTAGCTGCATGTCCTTACCCATGCACATGGTCTGGTCCTGAGAAGCCTTAAAACCGTTGTGGCAGATGCACTGGTAACTTCCTTGCAAATCAACACACAAGCCATGACTGCAGACATTAGGAATTTCTAAACATTCATTGCGATCTAAAACAAAAAATTAAAACACATGTTACATGTATCTGATTTTTATTAAGACTTCTCTTCATTTGTCACAGATGTGTTTCAATAACCTGCTATTAATTATTACAGACAGGCTGAAAATGAACCATAACAACAGATGAATTCAAACTAAGCAAGGCTTTAAAGTACCCAAGCTTCCTTTTTTAATCATGTAATTTTTTTTAGTATTTACTGGTATCTCAAGGATACTAATTTATTTTAGGTCCAAATCCTAGGGAAATCCATTGAAGAGATTTCTTTTCTTAACACAGTACTCTGAAAGATATGGTCAAATAGGTTCACTATAAATAATTTGATTGAGTTAGAAAACCTTTTCAAAATTATTTTGGAAGTATTTTTTGATAGGAAAGCTCTGGATACCTTGTTAGTGTGGGAAATATAAAAAATCTTGTATTCAGTGCCAAAGAATGAGTCAGCCTCTTGCTTACCTACACAGGCCCCGCTGGGCGACAGTTTGAAGCCTGCAGTGCACTCACAGCGGTAGCTGCCAGGACTGTTGATGCAGTCCGCATTCCGCTGGCAGAGACTGTCACCGTTGCTGCACTCGTCAATATCTGAAAGAGCAACGACTCCATTTTAAAGTCTTTCATTATTGCATTAGGAATACATTCACTTCATCACTTTGATGATCAACTCTTGAATAGTTACAGAAGAAATAGTAAAAATCAGAAAACTGCCTAAAAGCCACTTATTGTATTTACCAAGTTTTTTTTTTGGACAAAGGACATATATTATTCAGATTACCTTCACAGACCAAAAGCAGGTCATTGTAACTGAATCCTGTAGGGCACTCACAGCGGAAGCTGCCAATTTGGTTAATGCATACACCATTTGCACAAATGCCTGGTATCTCTTTACATTCATCAATGTCTGAAATTGAATAGATTTTGTCAAATATATGTGGTTCTGCTTAATGTATTTACCATATAATTTCAAATAATGCTATGTACACTCTAGAATGAGAACATATTCAGTGTCACAAAAATCAAATATATACTGGCATAAATGACTCTGTGGTTTATGAAAACATATAAACCGCAACAGCATACAACATAGATTAGTTCCTCTAAACAGTGATGGAAGAATTTAAGTAGCTGATAAAATGTACCAAGCAATTTTAGTGTCAAAATGGCAAATGAGCTCCCTAAAGACAAGCCTCTTCAAATTACGTGTCAGGTTACCCTCACTGTGTCTGTTCTTCTGATAAAGAAAGCTATATTTTTTCATTGTGTGTATTTTGTTATATATATATATATATATATTCATAATGAAGACTTAAAATTATATTGTTTACTAGATCTTTGAGGAAGAAAAGTGGAATGAGCAACATAAAGTACATTCAGAAAGAATTAATTTATTTGAATAATAATTCTGCAAATTCATAATTAGACCAGTAGAAACAGATACTACAAAAATACTCCAGAAACTTAAACATGTACTTATAAAAATAGCAACTAAAGATTAAATAAGGTAGATTATCTGAGTCATGTAATATATCATGTGTGACAAGGAAAACTAACGTTTTAGCTTGGTACGTAGGAAATCTTGAGACAGTCACGTAACTATCATAACTCAATCACTAGAGTATGCTGATGGAATATCTTTATAAATACTTGGTTAGAGCCTTTAAGTGTGTTGTTTCTTTCTTGTCTAACTATATTAGAATCAAATCCAGATTATTATATTTTGGGGTACTCTTGAATTTTAAAAACATTTTATAGATTTTTACAAAATGCTATACATACATTAAAATAAACATAATCTGGAAAGACTTACCAACAGCTTTTCCTGTGTGAATATCAAAGGTGAACCCAGGAATATTTCCACATATGGTTTTAAAGTCAGCTTTAAAATATAAACAAAGCAAGGCACTCTTAAAAGTCTCAAACTTATTCAAAATAACATTTCATATTTTACTTTCACAAATATATTTTATACTATTCACAACCAGATGTTTTAATATCTATCACATTTATTTAATAACAATGCCAACTTCTGCAAGGTATGGATCCAGGCATGCTTTACCATTATTATTAATGTTATAGTTATTACTATCACTAACTTTTTATTGCTCTGATATTAGAAGGTAAGAACTCATTACAACATTCAAAACAACTACTTACATACTTGTTTTTTTCTTTTGATAGTCAGAGCTATAAAAATGATCCAATTTACACAGATTGAAAAAACATATTAGAGTACAAATTTTAAAAGGGAATATGGATTGCACAATGGCACAGACATACAAAAATAATTCTGTAGTAGAGAAACAGGTTAATAATGAATAATGAATGAGATGTGAATTTTGCCATTTTTTTTCACCATAAGTGTTGGGAAGTGAAATTTGAGTCATCAAAAACAATACATCATGAAATAAAATAAGAGTTATACATAATTCACCAAATTAATAGAAATGTAAAATAATTCTCATTTTTAAGAAGCAAAATGCTTCTGATGCCCACAGCTACATGAGTGAGTCAAACTCCTGAGAACAGTATTAGATAAAACTTGTACTACATGCTATAACTATCAGAGTAAGGATCTTGTGTACTTAATCCACCATTATACACTCAGCATCCAGCATAGATAGAGGGACATAACAGACGCTCAATTTAATGATTTCTAAGTGTCTGGCAATGTACAAATTAAGTAAGTCTGAGGGAGTAGATGTATAAGGTACACTTTGACAACAAGTTGCTTTTATGTAAGGTTTGCTCATCAAACACATTTTTTGTATACTTTTCAAGATTGAACTAAAAAAAGATCCTTATTGAACTCAGTTTTTCTCAAAATATTACAGTTTCCATGTCTAGCACAGTGATGCATGGTTTAAGATAATGAGTTTAAATGGATCAATGCTTTAAACTCTAACTCTTCAGCAATGAATTCTATTTTCAGGATTCAGAAGATATATTCAATGTATGTCTCAGAAATTAGTGTTTGAATCCCAAAGGAGGCCACTTGGGAAACCGAACCATATGATGCTCTTGGAGAGTTTCAGAACTGAGCGTCTCTGGTTTTAGTACACACTTGGACTCTATTGTTACACACGTGTGTATCACTGACGTGGCCTTCAGCGGAAGAGCGAGCTGTGTGCTTACCGGTTCCTGGTGTTGGGCACGGCTCACAGGGCTTGTTCCAGGCTTTGCCCACATTGTATGTGCAGCAGCACATTCTCTTTGTCACATTAAAAGGCAACTCATTCTCACAAGTGGTTCCATTATAGCTTCGGTAGCAAAAGCTTTTTCTCATGTCTACAAAGAGAAAAACAAACAAGTTAGTCAGTCGCATCAGCAGGTACTAATGAAGCCCACAAAATGGTTCTAAAACATTTCTCAGTTACTTGTGGCTATCTTTAAAAATAACTCTTTAAGTTGAGCATAAATCATTTTTAGATCAACCTCTCTCCTGTTTTTAGATAAGAGATTTCATTTATGACTTTCTTGGGAGAAAATGTTAATACATATTTGTTTCTCTACTCAAAAGCATTTATTTAATTGAAAAAGTATTAAGCTTTAAATTTCATATGTTTTTTTATTTGTATAATAGCGTTCACTTTGCATGAATGGAGAAGAAAAATTAAATATATACTAACACTTGATGACATTTTCTACCTTAGACTCATGCTTTTTAAAATGTAACTATATAGCCAAAGGTCAAAAATGTAATACTGACCCAGCAGTTTATAAGACTCTGAAATACTTCATCATTCATAAAGAATTTCCAAACATTCTGAACAATAATTCTGAGACATAAGTGCTTTCTGTGTGAAGTCAACAACTGGGCCTAATTTTCATCTAGGAGATCTTTACCTACCCATGCAGTTGTGGCCGCCATTGACTTGCATGTATTCAGGTGGGCAGATGCAGGTGTAATTTCCCAGCGTGTTGTAGCAGGTCCCAGGCCCACACACACCAGGATGTGCAAAACACTCATCAATATCTAGAGTGCATGAGAATATCATTAATTAATAAAGATATTTTTCAATTAATTTATATTATTTAGGCTACTGAACAAAGTATAGTTGATACCCCGAGTCTGTATTTACACAAAATGTAGAAATACAGAAAATATCCCAAAATATGCAGTTACATGACACAGGTATATCTTTCTTCAAAAGAAAAAAAAAATCCCAACACTAAAAAAATATAAATCATCTGAGGAAATTATTCTAAAGTGCCCCAAATAATTTACATGACACCTATATGCATATTTTTATTAAAATTAACATTCTTCAAATGGAATTTCTTTATAAACAGCTTTTTATCTTATGTCACTTAAACTACATTTTAATGACAACTTTACACTGAATACAGGTTAGGAAAGCCTTTATCTTTGTAGTTCCTTTGAAATTCATACCATTCAGAGATTCTAGAAGCAGCTGCTGGTTGTTCTCCTTATTAAACCATATTTCTTCCAGATGCATTTAACTAACATGTTCCAAAAGAAAGGTGATAATGGAAATAGGTATGTTATATGTTTAATGTTATTTTTTAGAAGCATTCATTCATTCCACGAATAAATATTGAGATCCTACTGCAAGCTAGAACTTGGAGCTGTAAATGTGAATAATAAGTGGGCCCTGCCTCCAGAAGCATCCAGTGTGGGGTCAGACAGTCCCAAAAAATGACTGTGATGCCACGCGTGAGGTGAGGGGATGGAGAAAGAAAGGCCTCTGCACAACCTCTGAACATCTTCACATCATGTAGTGCAACATTTAAAAATTAATGAAAAACATTAACTTAATACTAGCATTTAAGCTTGCCTATATTTTCTATATAAAATAGAATTCTCATCAATATTTGAACTGATAAATTATTTGATATCATATGTTTCACCCTACTCCATTTCCCCCATTTATATTTAATCAATCTTCCTAGAAAAATAATGGTAAATTATAGCAAATGAGCTGTAAATTAATTTTGCATCAAACCACTTAGCAGCATTGATATGAAAAGAAAAGAGTGATGAAACAGTGAATAGATGCTTTGGTAGAATCTGAGGATGGGGCCTTTTCCCCAGGCCTCAGCAGTAACTTTATTTTAAACAGCCTACGTATTTTTAGGGACCAATTCACCTCACCTTCACAGATGCGGGTTTCCTCGCTGAGGTAGTAGCCTTGTGGGCACTCACACTGGAAGCTCCCAAAAGTGTTGATGCAATTTCCACCCTGGCAGAGACCTGGTAACTCCTGGCATTCGTCAATGTCTACAAAAGGGGAGACATTTCATTTACCACAAACACCAACATGAAAAGTAAGAGTTAATACTAGAGCTTCCAAAAGGGTGATCCTGTTAGACCAGCAGACTTTTTTGCATCCATATGAATGCACATTTAGATGGTGGGTTTATATCAAACATGGATTTCCTTGGCTTTGTTGTGGAATTTTGCAATTACCTGAGAAGAGTAATAAAAGCAAGTTTATTGCTATCTCAATTTGGGAAACAGCAATAAGGAAAGTTTCTCTGCAGAACAATTAGACATCAGATCAGTACAATGTATTGGATCCTTACTTCTTAATCAAAGTAGCTCTTCAACATCCTAGTAAGTGATTGTCCATCTGTAATTTTACTAAATAATTTTGTTGGGATGGCTCCACCTAATTTTTCTACCAGCTTTTCTCTGAAATTAATTGTTTACCTCATTTAAATCGGGGTGACAATAAGAGATTAGCTCACCTTCTAAGATGATTGTGATGGGGTTAGGTCTGAAGCCTTCACCTCCAGGACACAGGGTGTAATATTCAGCTACAAAACAATGGAAAAATAAGAGATGTGATGCCTTGTTCCAGTGGCTGAGACAAGGAGCAAGCATTCAGCAACTGTCAAGCTCAAAGTACCCATCCTAAGGGGTACTTAGGATTTTTTCTTAGTGTCCTTTCAAATATGTTTAAAGTATTACATATTATATTTTATATGAAAAAGATAATTACTCCACAAATCATGTACACAGTAGAATAACAAAAGCCATGTTTTTAATTAAAGAAAAAACTCCCTCACAACTCATCTGGCTATTAAATAAAAACTAAAAGATACTACAGTGTACAGGTTTCAGTTCATGTCCATTATCAGAACATATGTTTCAATTTAAGGCATTCTATGATTGACTTCAGGAATACAACACACCTATGGACCTGAACTAAATAACCTTTGAGAGGAATCAGGAATGGCCTTTATCTGTGATACCATGGAGAATTGATATTCCTACCATTCATATTGGATTGTGGTTAAAAAAATTGTTTTTTTAAACGTATCACGAAAAACATTAGGAAGAGAGGAATCTGAATTCCTTTCACATAACACTCTTGGCTGGCTTCAGCATAGTCAGTGGAAGTAGTCCAAGTTCAATGTCTTTTTGGTCCCTCCCCAGTCCAAGAATAAAATGGCAACTTGTCTTCAGATGCCAGTCTGTGTCCACTCACTGCTGTTGACAGGGGGGCACGTCTCGCAGGGGTTCCCCCAGGCCTTTCCCAGGGAGCAGCAGCAGGAAGAGCGACTGACGCCCACCCCAATCTCCGTGTTGCAGGAAAGACTCCCGTCGCCTCGAGGACCGAACTTCAGGTAGCAGTTGCCCACGCGGTTGTCTGCAGAGCAACAAAGAGCTTAAAATTGCCCTCGCTGTACTGACACTGCATTTTCCATAAAGGGAAAATTTTCAGTTGCATAGGCCCTAAGCTTAAGTGTCATTTTTAGCTCCTTACTGTCAATTCCTTATTCAATCCTGTCAACTCTACCTTCAAAATTTATCTGGAATCTGACTACTTAGCACTGCCTCTATCACCTTAACCTCAGCTCTGGCCACCATCACCCTCTGGACTATTTTAACAGTTTCCTAACTCATCTCTTAACTTCCATCCTTGACCCAACTGTAGTGTATTATTTTTCCCTCCATAGCCAAAGTTATCCTTCAGAAGCACTGTCTTAGGCCGGGCCACCTCCAATAGATTCACATCTCAATCAGAGTAAAATCCAAAGTCATTACTAATCTACAAAGTAATTTTCATCCCTGGCTGCCAACGCTATTTTATTTTATTTTATTTTATTTTATTTTATTTTATTTTATTTTATTTTATTTTATTTTATTTTATTTTATTGTTTTTTCCATCTTGTTCTTGTTGCTGACTCTTGGATACAGAGCAGTGAGTTAACTCATGGTCCCTCTCCTCATCAGGTTTGCATTGATTCACACCTTCTTCCTCTGCCCTTGCTCTCTCTTCTATCCCTATTCTCCACTCCCATTCCCCTTCCTCTACCAGACCATCTAAATGTATTTAATGTTATTAATTTTTTTATGTATTCTTACAAAATAAATATTTTTCTTTTAATGTGTTCATTTTATATTTACATAAATGGTTCTTTGTCATATATCTTATTTCATTTTACAACTTTTTCAGACATGTCTGCTTTGTAAACATGCAGTATGTCAACTCCATGGTCTCCATGCTTGTTTTTTGTTAAAAAATCTATCTACTCTCCCCCAAAATGATTTCTAAACCTCTGTCACCACAAAGAATGCTGCAGTGAACATCCTAAACCTGTCTCTGTAGGGGCCTGTGAGTTAATTTCTTTGGCATGTAGAGCCAAGAAAGGAACTGCTAGTTCATAGAGTTTGCATATACTTAGCCTTCAGTAACTGGAAAAGAGTCATCATCATTTACCATTTGCATCCAATAAACCCTTTAAATTTTTTATATTTTTAAGTCATTGTAAAAATAATTTACAAAAGGAAAGAGGCATACTAGAAACAACTTTACTAGTAATTTTAATAAGAATTTCATCATGGCTAACTAAAATTTTTATTTTATATTTTCTTGGTTTTGAAGATATTGTACCCAAATGGTCCTCTGAATTTAACTAGTGGCTTACCGGGGCTCACACACTTTGTACACATGACTTCAGATTTCAAGCACATCTCTAATAGGTTCTAGCTTATCATTACTCTGGTTCTTCTTGTTTTTGCATCATAAAAAAGAAAGCTTTTTAAACAGCAATCGCTCATTGATTTGCTGATGAGAGGACAGCCACCTTCTTTGCTCCACACAGGGAAAGCATTCTCAGGGTTAGATTTATCAACACCAATAAGAATCATCAATGCAATGATTTTCTTCTATTTTTACATCACATTTCCTTCTAAGAACCTTTTATACCTACCTGCCTTTATGGTTTGTCCACTTGTGAACCATATCTATTACATTTTGGTACATAGACATGATAAAATTTGAAAGAATACATGAATCTGGGATGGTCCAGGTTCTTACTGTCAAATGCTGTGTTGAAGTTTTTCTATTGACTAAGTGGATGAGAACACCATATTTCTTCTGTTTATAGAAATATACTGTTCACCCCCTATCTATTTTCAAGTGTGAAAAATTTCATGTAGAAAATTGGTCTCTGATAACTCCTGCCCTAGGATATTGTTTAGATGATCAATTTCACCATCATCTTTAAATCTAGACAAGAGCTGTTCTGTCTCTTTGCAGTCATCTTCTGATTCATCTGACAACTGTGAAATTGTTTCCACTGCCAATTTTTTTCCCTCTTTGCCATGATGGCCAGAAAACAATGACTTCTGAAATTCTCAACTGTGTCTCATAAACGATGAAAGAAGATTTCAAATGAGGTGTCTCCAGTCCTCTTTTGTATTGTCTTGAAAGATGATAAATTCTTTGGGCAACATAATACCAAAACTGAAGGATGAGACCACAGTAACATTTTATTTCACTATTGCCTCTTCCTTCTAGGTGATGCCAACATTTTCCATTTTCTTATTGTTTTATTTTATGTTTTTAGTGACAAGGTCTTGCTACGTTGCCCAGACTGGAGTACAGTGGCACAATCATAGCTCACTGTAATCTCAAATTCCTGGGTTTAAGGGATCTTCCCATCTCAGCCTCTTGGGTTGCTAGGACTACGAACATGTGCCACCAAGCCTGGCTAACTTTAAATTTTTTTTTTTTTTTTTTGTAGAGATAGTGTCTTGCTATGTTGCTCAGGCTCGTATCCAACTCCTGCCCTCAAGTGATTTTCCTGCCTCAATCTCCCAAAGTGTTGGGATTACAGGTGTGAGCCACTGTAACTGGCCTTTCTTATTATTTTAAGCTCTGTTTTAATGTTATTGGGCATAAATGATGAATACTGATGAATTAAAATCTAAGATAATAAAATAGCAAAATATTTTAAGATAAAGGATATATTAAAATCACTGGCATCTTATAATGTATCCTAGACTTACAAAAGGGCCCAATAGACCCTTATGGTATTTGTGAGATAGAAGGAGTCTTTGTTTTCTAGAAGACCACTTATAAAGAATGAAACCCATGAAGTGTCAATCTATACAAATGGAATTTCCCCAAAAAGAAACCCCAAAACTAAAATTGATTGCTGACAGTTAATCTGAATGCTGTTGTGTAAGAATATTCTCCACAGAGCTGCCCTGGTCTATGCTTCCACCCACAGAGCAGAGGGCTCCACACCCCACACTTCATGTTTCCCAGGTTTTCTAATTTTGTCAGTATAGGAGGTGTAGAGTGATATTTAACACAAGTTGTTTTAACTGGATTTTTTTCTTCTTACTAATGATTTAGGGCATTTGTTTACTTTCATTTGTTAACTTTTGGACCATTCTCTTTTATTAGTTGCCTGTTCATAGCCTTAGATTCAAGGAAGCTTTTAAGAAATAGTGAGGCCCCAAAGAATCAGAATTTCTGGGGGTAGGGCAGACATCAGTGTATTTTTAAGGTTCTAAATGGGATTTTACTGTGCAGCCAGGGTTGGGCATCACTTCACGATCTGGGCGACTGCTCCTTCTCAGACTCCTCTCCTCATACTCTAGCCCGCTCCCTGCCCCCTATTCTTGCTATGCAGCCTTGGGCTGTGTCTCTGACACCAGCATTCTCCTACCACAGGCCCTTTGCACTGGCTGCTCCTTTTACCTGGGGGCTTCTCCCAGAGGCCCCCTTGGCTTGTTCCTTCCTTCAAGGCTCTGACTCCCCCTTCCCCAGTGTAACATAGCACTTTTCCTCTGCCCACCTCAAGTGTCATGATCTGTTCTTGCTTTTTTTTGTCTCCCTGCCACCAGAATGTAAACACAAAAGCACAGAATTTGCTTGTTTTGTTCACTGTTGGAGCATTGCCCTTAGATAGAAGGTGGTCAATATTTACTAAATGAATGATTTTGAATGGAAAAGGCAGAATTTGGAGTAGCCATAAATCATAACTAAATGCATTCTTCACAACTTGAAAACAATATATAGATTGTGTAAAAATCACAGCAGCAAATATCCCCTCTATTTGCTGCAGGCCTATGGAACTGACACTGAAGACAGAAGGCAGATTTCTACCAAAGCAAGGAATTTCCCTTTATTTCCCTCTTTAAAATTTTCTGTACTTGCTCAGGAGATTCCCCAGACCATACTCCTTTAGGCAAACACTCATTAAGATATAGGAATAGGGCTGATGGCAAAAGATGGGCAATTATTTTTTAAAGATCAGCAATGTCAATGACAGATTCTGAGCCTTCATTATTTCCTCCTCCTCCTCCCTCTCAGCTCCCACCTTCTTTTACTCCAATGGTTTGGTTCATGAAACCCATCTCTCTAATTCCTTTCTTCTCATCCCTTCATTTGTTTCACTCCTATACGACCCTTCCTGCAGGCAAGAGAAATGGCTATTCCAATACCTATACCCCTTTGGGCTGTCTGGCCAAGTCCTGGACATGGAGCCAGGCAGCAACCTGGGACACTGCCTCAGCTCTGCTGTCTGCAGGCTCTGACACCTTGAGCACATTAATGCACCTGTCTGCACCTTGGCTCCCAAGTCTGCAAGAGGAGGAGGTTGGAGATGTCTTGAAAATTCTTGTTTCTAAATACAATTTGGAAGATAAACACAATACAGGTGACCACGTATTATTTGAAATACAGAGTTCCTTAAGGGAAGGGATTAATTTGTTTTTAAATTAACTGTAGCAGACATTCATCATAGTTCACTACCAAAAGCGTCTAAATATTCAACTCTACACAATTCTATTAGTTTGTTTCATACAGGTTTGTTTCATACAGGTTTGTTTCATACAGGTTTGTTTCATACAGGTTTACTTACCCACACAACCCACACCAGTGGGGTTCAGCTGAAAATCGGGTGGGCAATTACACTCATACCGACCAGGCGTGTTGACACATAAGCCGTTTACACAGTTTATGGGATCTGCACACTCATCAATATCTAGAAATATGTAAAATGCCCACGTTACCATCTTTACTTTCCATACCCATGCTGCTGTTTCAAAGAATTTGGTGGATTTTTTGCAAGTCAGTAGATTAAAGATCATTATGAAGGACTCAGCACAATTAAATAAAAATATTAAATCCTTGTATATGCCTAAAACAGGTTCCAAAGATCAAGCACATGATGTTTATGACAACGTCATTTAATATTCTTAATAGATAGATGTAATTAATTGTTGCTAGTCTGAGGAAAAAAATGTCACTATTTGCTTAACTAAATTTATATATTTATACATGTATATATATACATATACATGAACATGCATATAGACAAAGAGATACTTTAGTAGTTTCATGTTATATATTTAATATTAAATTGTTTACATAAAATGGATCAATTTCATATTAAAAATAAATGTACTGGGATATAATTTTATGTTTTAGAAAAATGTATAACCCAATGCACATATTAACCAAGCAGAAATTTGAAGAATTTTTATACTTAGCATAGAACATTCATTTCAACTAACTGGAACACATATAAGCCCTTAACTGGCCATACCTGTACAGTTCCCTCCTGTTCTGTCCAATTCATAACCATCATCACAGATACAATGAAACATTCCAGGCAAATTGTTACATGTTCCAAAGACACAAATATTTTGGAAGGAGCATTCATCGATATCTGAAGATTAAAAAAAAGTAATCTCTTGTTTATAAAGGCATTTAAAATTTTTGATTTAATGCATAATATTAATGGGATTTTCTAAGTTCTCAAATGTTTCTATGCAGTAAAAAATTTTTTCTTTGGCTAGGCAGGTATTGAAAATGACAAGCAAATAGTGTCTATCTACAAAACTGAGATATGAAAGATATATTGTTTTCTTTGTAAAATGTGTATCCAGTATTTTAACTTTTTTGGATTATAATATACTTAAATAAAAAAGGATTGGCTTAAGGCATAAAGAATACAAAAATTAAATATAAACATGTTAAAGGAATGAAATTATAAAAAATTAAAGACAACAAAAGATTCTAATTTATTAGTATAAACAGCGGATGTTGTACAATTGGTAAATTAAAACAAAAACATAAAATTTTTAAATATTACCTTTAAAATTATTTAACTTTTTAGTTTTCACTTCTCTTTTATTCTGTAATTCTATCTGTCATTATAAAATCAGTTATACACAGGGAGGGAAATGTTTTTCCCAATACCATATAGTAAGATGGCCCATTGCCCCACATTCTAATGAATTTCATTAAAATATCTCTATTGAATTGAATTAAGAAATTCAGTTTATGAAGGTCTTCCATGAGGCTTTAACTCAAGGTCAATATACGTGTCCTCACTCATATGAAAATGAAGGCCTATATGTGTATGTTCAACTATGGAAATAATTTGTATTTCTACTCATAAAAGGGGGATACACATTTTTGTACATAAATTGCCTAATATTCTGAGAATGCAGACCAGGCATGTCATTTTAGGCTAGACTAGACAAGCCATCCTAAACTGCTGTCTTGAGACAGTTGTATCTTAAGTTTAAAAGGGTTTTTGGTCATTCATGATAGTTACCATGATTAGTTTCAGGTACCTTAGATTTTAAGGTTCCAAACATGTTTAAAATTAAAAGTTCAACTGATGTGCAAAGGTGTCTTTTCTTGTGTCAAGGGGAATAAAGTTATTCTCTTTATATAAATGAGCAGACTCATTTAGAGGAAGAAAGTGTGAATCATGCTAATCTATAAGTGACAATGAAATTGTATTATCAGCCCTCTGAATATGCATTTTACTTTAAAAATACCTTTATTAGAAATATCTTCCCTTTAAACAATGTAACACTTATATAAAATAAGGTATTTTAAAATAATACTGTCTTGACTTTATAAAACTGATGCATACTAAAAAATACAAAGAATACAAAACAGTATTGATAGGAAAACAGAAAAGATAGCAAGCAATACACAAAATAAGAAACTAAAAGCAAATTCACTCAAAAATGTTTCCACCCAGAAACAACCATTGATGAACATCACTGACTGACATCATTATTACTGAAGAATATTATTCCAGGTGTTTGTACATGCATATTTATAGATAGGGAAGCTGAAACAAGTTCCATTAATCATATCAATTTTTCATTATCTTAACAGTTTCTAAAATACTTTTTTAATGTCAAAAAATAAGGAAAAACACCAAAATTTTACCATCTTTTGGTTTTATGCTAAAGTTCAAATGTAATTTTTAGATAGTATTAATAGATTATATACAATGAATGATAAGAAAACTAGCACTCATATATCCTTCTAACTCCTTATTTTTGTTACCTGTTATTTTCACTTTTCAAATGTTTATGGCAGTTTACCATAATCTCCACAGTATTTAGTACTAATTCTTTACTTAAGGGGATCAATATGGTTTTGGTACAACTTCTCCATTTATTTCTTGATTGGCTGTGTTTCATTGCTAATTAGTTTTTTTCCCCAAGAATGGAGGAACTTGTGTGAAAATATAAGATTTTTTTCTGAATTATTTTACTTTTAAGAATATCCCTATTGTTTTTATAATTAACCAACTAGTCATATGTTTCCTCAGAATTTTGTGGGCATTGATTTAATGTGGGCATTGGTATTGAATGTTTGTTTAGCTCATGACTTGTCTAATCTATCTGAAGTCTTGAATCCTCTATGAGTAAAGTTTACAAGTGTAACGAGGCTAAGTTTTTCTCTTATAATTTGGCCTTTTCCTGTACATTTAATCCTTTCTTCTAGTTCTGGAAAACGTTTGGTTCTTTGATAGTTTCTTCTATTTGATTTTTTTGCTTTTCACTCCAGAGCCACTAGTTATACTCATGTTTATGATTTTTATCTTTTCTTTAACAGTGTTAATTTCTCTTCCTGCCTATTCTGTTCTATGTGATTCTCTCAAGCCCTTTCTCTATGCCAATTACATTTTCAACTGTATCTTTTCTGATTTTTGCCGTTTCTATTTAATAGTTCTCCAGTTTTACTGTATTAGTTCCCATTTCTTATTTGTGTTGACTCTGCAATCTCCTTTTTATTAAATACTGGATTATTTTTATAATCTTCTCTTTGAAATTGTTCAATCACATTTATATTAAGGTCATGAACGCCACAAAGAACTTATGAGAAATTTGCTTTTGCTTCTGGGGCAGTTTTCTTCGACTCTGGGTTAGGTCTTTAGCTGTTTTTATGTAGACTCTTTTATTTTGTTTCTGTAGGGTGCCCACATAGTTGTTACTGTTTATTTTCTGCTTGTCCACACACTACTGGGTCTTCTCTTTCAAGAGCTTGTATTTACTTCCATACAGTTCAGGTGGAATCTCTTGACATCTTTCCTTCTTTATCAGAGCTTTATTTGGAAGACACCTTGGGGTCTGGGTTTTGTTAAAACTGCTCTTCAGTAGCCCAGAAAGAAGGAAACAAGGATAGGAGAGCTCTTTGGGGGCTCCATGTGCTCTTAGAGGATGGGCCTGGCCTTTGCTCTCTCTTCAGACGTCATACAAAACAGTCTGTATCTAGGTTCGCTCTATCTAATGGTGTCCCGTAAATTGTCCCTGTGGCAGCTCCTCTGGGTTTTGTATTCCCCCATTTTGGTGGGGAATATTGGGAAATGGCCAACTCCAGTAATTATTTGGAATCTATAGAAATTCTAAGAATTTACGGTAAGAAGTAGTTCTGAGTAAAAAAAAAGTTGATCAGAGGGGAATATATTTATAAAAAGATGGGAAGACATCAAAGGAATTAAATTAGTAAAATCAGGAGAAACTGTCCAGGTGAGCCAAACCTTATGGGAAGAAAGAAGAGAAAAACAAGGAGAACAGGCAGAAGCATGGAATTACATTTCTGGGATCTCAAAAGTGAGCGTTCAGATGAATGGGGCACAGGGTTTAGCTAAGGATAAACTCCCCCTGTGCCACCCCGAGCTGCCTTGTCAACAGGCATTTCTCTCTATGGTAACGACACATGAGAAAACTAAATGTGAAGAAAGTACAGTAAACAGTAACTTATTTAGCACCATTTTGGGGATAAGTTCTAGAAGGGCCTATGCCATCCACAAAGCAATAAATTTATAAAGAAAAAATTCTGTCTAGGTATAAAGAACCCATGTTGGCAAAAGTGTCTGGTTACTGCTGACTTGTTCATTCTCCTACTAACTCTTGTCAAGCTGATGTAGATACTAAATCATGCATAATAATTCCATATCCACATTGACTTACATTTTCTACTAATTAACTTCAGTGCTTAGAAGAAACCAGGATTGAGGAAAAAAATGTTCATTTTACAGTTGTTTTGTATAAAATGGATTAGATTCTGCCCAATCCAGTGGGTAATGTAGAAAGCATGAATGCTTTTAGTTTTTAATGTCATACTTCTTAGGGCCAACTATCCATCCCTTGTTCACATTGGTGGCTCTTTATGAAAAATTTAACGATTATCTGGCACACTTTCTTCAGTGCCACCTCTGGCGGTGCAGCAGAGTCAGGCTCTACTCTGAGCTACCCCGGATTCTATAATCTGTTTTGTGTGGTTCAGGCTGATGAACTGTGTGCATGTGTGTATATGCATGTGTGCATGAGCACTGGCACTTACCATCTCTGTTCATTTGATTAGACACTATGTCGGGGAAATATCTGTTTCCATTTTATCATCTCTACCTAGCAGTTAGCTTGAGTTATTTTTTTTAAGGTGTTCTGTGAATAACAAATTTTGTTGAAGCCCTTTGGCATATGAATTATTTTTAATCTCTTTTCTTTCTTCCTTCACATCTTCATGTGTTCCCTATTCATCACACAATCATGGCCCGCACTATGTGCAATGTGAATTTAGTCTGTGATTTAAAAGAAAATCCAAATTCTTTCTCTTGGAAATAGACCGTACTAGGCTAAAGTCCCATTTCTAAGAAAGAGGGATAATGTCATAACTTAGAAGAGGAGACATTACTATTAAGCAAATGTGAAGTCCCTGACGAATCCCTGAACAGGACTTCCAGTCCCAGACATATAGGCAGCAGATTCAAACATGAAGGCAAATGCCAATACTGAACTGTTTAGGTCTTGATAAACACAATAAATAGCAGTGACTGGAGTAGGAAATAATAGATCATACTTTAAAAGCTGAATAGTTTTCCACATGTCATTCATTTAGTGATAAAAAAAAGAAAAAGGAAAAAAGAAACGGTTAAAAAAGGAAAGAAAGAATGCGCTAAACTTCCAATTATTGGCTCTTGGCCAGGAAAACTTCATAAGAGATGAAAGCCGCCTTCATCATTATTCATTCGGCAAAATAATCCACGCATAAATGAATGACTTTTATATGTGCAGCATGTGCTATGTGTTCAGCTTCCAGGTGGAGCCTGTTCCAGACCTTTTTGTGGTTTCATTTACTGTAGTTGATCCAACTTGAAAATGAGCTGGAATCCTAGCAACCCACCTTGGCAGGACCTGCTGTCTGAGGCTGGAGTGAAGCCCATCTCACACTCGCAGCGATATGCACCCGGGACATTGAGGCACTGCCCGTTCTCACAGAGATTTATGTTTTCTGCACACTCATCAACATCTGGAGAAGTAAATCACATCTCTATTAAGTTCCAATTTCATGACACATTTTCTCCTTGCTCTGTAACTAAATCAATTTTACTGGCTTGACTTAGTGCTCATTAGCATGAAACAGCGGTAGATCACATTCACTGAAATAAGGGTATATGACTGATAGAAAAGCTATTTAACCTGCACCCTAACATTCAATTGTAATACAGTTAAAAGGAGAAATGCAGATGTTTCCCACATCTGTCTTGGTTCTTTTTAATGCCAATTTGTGTATGGTATTATACCAACATCATTTAGACATGACCAAGAACACTAGAATTAATCTTAAAATGGTGTCCATGCATTTGAAAGTGTTATAGTATTAGAATACACAATTTACTTTTTCACTAGTCCAAGTATTTTAAAGCAAATTAGAGACACTATGAGAATGGAGAAAGGTTCTTTCATGTCATTATAATCTTATAAAAATACTCCTATCTTTTTTTCAAATTTCAGAATACTAGGGGGATACAAACATTTTGGTTACATGAATTGCTTTTGTACAGTTTGAGTCAAGGTTATAACCTGGATGGAACTGGAGACCATTCTTCTAAGTGAAGTATTTCAAGAATGGAAAACAAACTCCTATCTTAATTATACAAACAGACATCATTCATAGACCTTAAAGATCATTTACTTTAATTCTTTCAAGAGAAAAGGGCAAGGAGGGCAGAAACTGATGTCTACTGACGGCTTGATATATGCTAAGTGGTGTGCTGGTTGCCTGACATGTGTTTCCTCCTTGAGTCACCAATTCCTTGAGGTTCACAAGAGGAAGAGCCTGAGGCTAGGAGCAGCAGTGAGCTATGAGGGCCACAAGGAGCTGAGCCAGGATCTGACTGCAGCTGTGTCTGACACCAAAGCCATGCTCTTTCCTTGATATCATGGTGCAAAGAAATGCAAGGAAATATGCAATATCAAAAGCTTAAAAGTAATAAAGCTATAATATTGAATAAGTATGTTTTCTTAAAGAAGCATTCGAAAATGACAAGTCTGCATTTTTTACCTCAATAATTAAAAAAAGAATTTAGAATCTATCATTTAATTCTGGGTTTAAAGTGTGTACTTCAAATCAACAAACACCTATCTTACAAACTGAAAAGCATTCAACTTTACATATAGCGAGATGATCTAGTTTTATATATGCATATGACGAAAAGATACTTTATCCTCAAGGAATGTGGAACGAAGAGAAGCTAAATAGAAGCTAATATTTACTGAGCTTTTGTGATGTGTTTTCTGAAGTTCTTTACTTGTATTACTCCATTTAATCTTTTCAATACCATGTGGTAAACTCCTGAGACTTTGATAAATACATTTAACAACAGTGATTGTGTAGGTGATATAGTTTACTTTAAAAAGCTGAATAGTTTTTCCCTTTCATGCATTTAGTGATTTAAAAAAAAGAAAAAAGAAATAGTATTATTACTATGGCCATTTTAAAATGGGGAAAATAAGGCCAGATAAGTAATTTACTTGAGTTTAGCCAGGTAGATGCTGCATAGGCAAGATATGAATCCAGGTAGTCTTTTCCAGACAAAGCCTGTGTTTTTGAACCATTATGTTATAAATGAGTAAGAGAAAATGATAGTCTTTAACAGCACGTACTAGTAATAAATGTCATCATTTTAAAACATCCACCAATATATTTGAAAGATCGTTTAAGTTTTTGTGTTTAATGTAAGAAATACATATTCGCCTGTAAGCCAAGCGTAAAAATGGGGTAGTTATTTTAATCTCCTTTAACTACAGTTTTCTTCAAATAAAACGTTCAAGCATATAAACATTCCATGCCCATTAAGTCAGCACACACCTCTCAACTGTAACCCACCTGAGCAGGTAAAGCCATCTCCAGTGAAACCTTCAGAGCAGGCACATCGGTATGAGCCTGGGGTATTGACACACTGAGCATTTATGCTGCACTGGTGGGTTCCGTTAGAACATTCATCCAGATCTGCATGCCAAGAGAACATAGCAGTAAAGTTCAGAAATAAAGATGAAACATTTGAACACCCAGAAAGATTTTCATCTGTCTTAAATAGAAACTAGCCAAGTGTGTTTTAGTTTGTAGGGCCACAGCTCCAATATTCTAAGATCTCAGACCCATAATCCAATGTCCATGCCACAAACATGGGCCAAAATTATGAATTCAAGCATTTTATGCAGTATCTCATTAGAGTTTTAATGGTTAAAAGAAAACCAGTGTTATATTTCATTCTGACTCCTACTGAAGGTAGATTCTATTGCTGGTTCCATTAGCACTAAAAAAGGATCAATTCTGAAGATAATATCGAATTTTAGCATACAGTTTTCAAGTTTATTTTATAGATGAGGAAATCAAGATACGATTCTTGACCTCATGGAGTCCACAGTCTAGTGGAAAAGACAGATGTTAAACCCAGGGAAAAAAATTAAATACTGACATATGCACCATGAAAAAAGTTACAAGGTGCAATGAGAGAATAAAAGGGGCTTCTAATTTGTACTGCAGAAACAAGGAAGACCCCACTGAGGAAGTAAATTTTAGTTAACTTCAGACCTCAAAGATAGGAAGCATTAGCTCGCTGAGCAGAATTAGGGGACGGCGATCTCTGCAGAGGGGACAGTGCATGTATAGACACCAAGGAGGAAAAGAGTTTGATGTGACAAGAAAAAGTAAAAAAGGCTAGAGTGGCAAAGCACAGTGCAGCAGACAGAGAGAGGGTGGTAGAAGAAGCCAAAAGACAGTGAGTGGAACCAGGCAGGAATGGGGAGGAAGCTGATTCTATCCTGAGTTCAATGGGTTAGAATGACGAAAATATCAAATCTATGAGTTTCCTCCTGCTGCTACGTGGAGAACAGACTGCACGAAGGCCAGAGAGGGAATGAGCAAACATAAGCAGGGGCTCTTTTAGTGTCCTGGAGACAGAAAGTGGGGGGGGGGCAGAGAGAGAAAGAGACTGAAAGAGACAGACTGGTTGAGACCAGAGCAGGGAAATGGATAAGGAAAGAGGAGGACCGACATGGGTGCCACGTTGGAGCACAGGATTCTGGACACGCCTGAATCTCTTCTATCGGAGGCAGGCTGTCTTGAGACAGCAACCAGAGTGACAGATGGACAAGAAGTACAAAAAAGGAAGGCTATAAGGGAGGAAAAGAGGAGACCTATGGGATTAGAAAATTACAAACAAGGATACAGCTGAAAAGTTGTGAGATTAACCATAGAAAGACGGCCGGACTAGACGTAGCTAGTAAGCATAATGAAGTCATGGCAGGATGTTCAGCTTGCTCTCTTTTTACTTTAAATTGACCTGGATAATTCTCACCAGTTGGGAAAATTCTTTACTTTAAGGCATGTAAAACACTGAGCATATTAAACAGCACTGTGAATGATACCAAGAGTGTACTCTAGCGCCTTGCCTCTCAGACATAAGACAGCTTATTATTAGACTCTGGCTTAAGAACCATAAAACCCAGAGAAGCTGTCTTCCCCTTCTCTTTTCTTCAAATCAGACTTCTTAAAATCCAACAAAATATTTAGATTTTCCTGTAAGAAGAATTCCATTTTCTAATAAGACACTGATATCGGCATTTACTACAGACTTAGGCTATCTGAAAAAAAAAACAACCTTTTTGTTTCTTCCATTTATTTGCTGGATTTTAAATCTCACTGATTACTCTATGAAAAGATTGGAAAAACATATTAGTCATTTTTCATCACATAGCTGTTTGGATCACCAGCTGCATATCAAATATTTTTGACTGAACAACACATTAAAAAGCAGATGCCAAGGCATACTGTTGTAACTTGATCATTTATATTAAGGCTAAAGGAAACTCTTACGCAGAAATTATCTTATCACTAAGATAGCCTTTGATTTACAAGAAAAAAAAATGAAAGTGAAGAGTATATTCCTATAACTGTGCAAAGAGCCTTAAACAATTTCATGCCTTAGCAAAAGATTACATTCGCAAACTCACCAATGCATTTGATGCCATTTCCAACCCAGCCTTCTCTGCAGCTGCATTTGAAGCTTCCTGGGACATTCAGACATGAAGCGTGCATGTCACAGTTGTGAGCACCAATTTCACACTCATCCACATCTGAGAAACCATAGTTCATATGAAAAAGATACAAACACAAGCTAATTAACTCTACTTCCAAATATATTTCTGTATAGGTAAAATTTTAAAGTAAATATGAAACCATACAGAGAAAATATTAACATCAGTTTTATTTTTGTAGGCTTCAACAAGATTTGGAAGTTCATGATCTAAATAAAACAAGTCCTTCCCTAGAAAACATTGTTAGTCACTTACCAGCAAGAGTGAGACGCAGCAGCTGCTGCCCCGGCAGGCATGTGTCTCACCCCTGCCCATCCCAGAGGCCTGCTCCCTGCCCAGAGCCAGGTAGAGGACATTAGATCACAGACGCCAAGATAAATCTTATTTCCAAAAAGAAGCTTTGCTATTTCTTCCTATTAATATTTATTACATATTTTTCATGAAGATACAAATAAGCCTTTTATTTTAGAGTCCATTCTCTTTTTAAAATTATACAGTCATTTTTAAAATCAATATGTTTTATAGAGTTTTTGAAAACTATCATTTAGGTTTGTATTTTTATTTCTTATATTTGTTTGAGAATCTAAAAAAATATTCACTGGAAATTTTATCTGGAAAGTGACTAGATGCTTTTACCAGTGTGTATGTGTGTGTGTATGTATCATATATATAATATACACACACATATAGACATACCCTCCCATATACATACATATATATAAACTATGTAGATATGGTTTCCCACAGTTTCTAGAATGTAAGAATAATCTGTCCTATCCAGTTCAATGATTATTGTAGATGCTGAAATCATATACACACTACTGCCTTTGCATGAACGCTGCTAGTGGTGAACATGCAGAGGACTATACCTTCTTTCATTACTTGCCCTTCCCTGGAGGGGTCAGTTTAAGGGCTGGGTTGCAGCCTAAGCCACCCACCTTTTGCCTTGAGCAAAATACCACACAGGGGCTTTTTTAAACTGAGTACTAAGAAATACCTGTCCAAAACCTTGACCTTGGTACTTCCTAGACCCACATATACGCAAAGAGCTAAAACTATTTAGTAGAAAAAGGGAACAAGAGACAAAGTGGATAGAATGAGCAAAGAAAGAAAGTAAAGTGAGAAAAAGGAGAGAGGCAATTTGGGCAGAGAGAAGAGAAGATAAAAGCAATTGGAGAGAGAAGAGAAAAGAAGGGAGGAAAATATGGGAGACAGGAAGGAAGAGAAAATGTCTAAAAACAGCATTTGAGATAAATTTTTAGTAGTTTGGAAGAACACAAAGACCAACAAAAACTGGGACCCTCTAGGTCTCTCAGTGCCCCTTTACGTGTGTCTTCTGTTTGGGCAACAGTCATTCTCAGAAAGCAAATGCTACTCCAAGAGCCACCAGCAGCACGTCAGAGCTGTGGGAACCAGACTCCACCCCCACCCCTGTGTGGGCACCCACGGCGGCCCGCGGTGGTGGTTCAGACAGTGCGCTGCCACAGAGACCAGCCAAATGCAGCACACACGCTACGGGTCAGGCTCTCAGCACACACATGGCCGTGGCCTGGGTGTGGGTAACCGGTCTACAGATGCAAGAGGATGTTGGCCGTGGCCTTGGCGTGGGTAACCTGTCCATAGATACAACACTGTTGAAGGCTGGCCTTTGAAGGAGACAAGCTGGAAACCTACCTGTGCACCCTGTGGTCCCCTTCTTCACTGAATAACCCAGCTGACAGTGGCAAATGAAGGATCCCTTTGTGTTCTCACATTCCCCAAACATGCAGATGTTTGAATTTAGGTCACATTCATTCACATCTAGAAAAATTATTTTCAATATCTGGTTAGTATTTGTTCATTATAGTAATTAAAAAGCTATCTTTTAGACTGAATAGGTAAAATCTAAAATATAATCCATTTGCAAGACATACTATTGCAAATAAATGAATCATCTGTCTTTAAAGATTTTTCTCCAAATAATTCTTCCTTTTCAGGTTGTATAGTTCTAGTAAAATGGTTTAAAATACCAACTGAAAAAGCCTTCCTCTTCTTACATTTTTGTGTATATATATGTGTGTATAAATATTTATCCTCTTCTTATGATACCCACCAATGCATGTTTTCATGTCCATTGAAGCCATGAAGCCATCATAACAGAGACAGCGATACTCCCCAGGAATGTTGGTACATTGGCCACCATCACAGATATCAGGATTGTTTTCACATTCATCAATATCTGATGATACAAAATTAACATCAAATGAAAACAAGGATGCCTTCCGTCAATATCAAATGCTTTTTTCCATCCAGTTCCACTCAATAACATCTGGAGCCAGTTTGTAAGGCAAAACTAATTAGATGCACAGAGTCTGTGTGGATTCCTTTCTATACCTGCACATGATCTCCCATCTGGCATCAGGGCGTAACCCTCACTGCAGCTGCATTCGTAGCTTCCTTCTGAGTTAGTGCACTGGGTGTCACAGCCCCCATTCATTATCATACACTCGTCAATATCTGTGGAAACAACATTGCAACCACATCACCCTTGAGGCCTACTTCCTTGAAAACAAAACATAAGGAGTTTTTATCGTTTTTAAACAGATACTGCTCACATGGTTTGGATTCTTCTCCCCACTATTTGTGTTGATTTAGTACTATACCATTAGTCTTTCTTAGTACTTTTTACTGTTTTTTAGATAACATTCCACATTTAACTCTAGTACTGTAAGATTAAAGAACTCAGGAATATAATAACTATGGAATTTAGAGCATTTTCTACAATAAGACCAGTAAGTGCTCTGCAAAATCAACAAACCATCTGAGATTTGCCCCCATTCTTAGATTCATTTTTGGGACAAAGGACTCACTCACATAGGCTTCATTATATATTTAGTGCCAAAAGTTGTCCTGGACTGACTGGAGACATGTGAGTTTCAGACCTGGCCTCTCCTTACCTGTGCAACCCTGGCGGTCTGCTGTGGCCTGGTACCCAGGATTGCAAGAGCACTGATAAGTTCCAATCATATTCACACATTTTCCATTTCTGCAGAGACTGTTGCTCAGGGAGCATTCATTAACATCTATAAAAGATACACAGAATTAATGTTTTATGCAATAGGCAAACCCTAAAACCATTAAGAGCATGCTTCACGCAGCACTGGTCTCCAGAGGGATTTGTGTACTTCAGGGGGAGGTAAAATGATCTCCTGGGGTGTTCAAAGAAAATGCTAGAAGCTCTATTATTTGTATCTACAACAGTGCTGTCCAGCAGAACTCTGAGCAAAGATGAAACTGCTACATATCCATGCTGTCCAATACATAACTGCATGTGGTACTGAGCACTGGAAACGTGGACAGTATGACTAAGGAATTTTTAGTGTTATTTAATTCTAAGTAAATTTATATAGACACATGTGACCAGTAGTGACTAGGATATTAACCCACAGATTTGACATGTGTCAGAAATGAAGCTTCCTACTATTTAATATGTGAATCTGCTTAGCATGCTCGCCTGGCCTTTCTTAGATGGCCAAGAGCTGCCTACACAACTTGAAGTCTCCTGAAGGAAGATGGCAGGTTCCACAAAGCAGAGGCGTGACAACAGGGCCCTCGCCTGTTTGTTTTTATCGTACTGCGTTCAGTGTGCCTGGATAGGTGGATCTACAGATTCTATTGTCTGTTTTAAATTAACTAACCCTTCTAAGATGTGCAGATGGCTTAAAGAAAACCAATCAAAGATCTGTGGAATAAACTTAGGACTAATAATATAATCATAAGAAAGCAGCAAGAAAATATACTTCCTTATGCAAGCAGACACAGTCTCAGGTAAAAACAATGATGGTATTATAAGATATAACAAGAAGTTCATTGCAAATTCTCAAAATGACTGAGAAGACTATATGGATTATACTCATGATCATTACGTGTATATTTTATATTGTACGGAAATACATATTTTATATTGTGCATTTACACCATTGAAGTAATTTTTTTTAGCTGTGAGATCCATGAAAACTAAGTAACAAAATAAAATGAACTTAGAAAAAGATGTCTGAAGCACTGTATCTCAATATGTTCAACCATGAATAAACATTCTCTAACAGTGTGGAAAAGCTTTTTGTACCACTGCTAAAATGAAATAAAAAACATTTAAAACTTCTTCATTCATCTTTTTAAAACATCTGTTTAGTCTATCACTTAAGATTCATCTCATACACTGGCACAGCAATACATATGGCTTATAAATAAATACGTATGTATCAGGAAGGTATGTTCAAATTATTTTTTAAAATGTGGCATGTGATCTGCTCTATTTTAAGCTGTTTTATTTGCCTACAGTTTCAAGAAAGAGTTCCTGTGAAGCAAATGTGTCCTGGCTGCATCAGAGCTTGAAAGCCACATACCAGAGCAGGGAAGCCCGCAGGCCCCCACGTGCTGTGAAAAGCCACAGGCTGGGAGGCTCAGAGAGCAGCCACGGGTCTCCTTGCGTGCCTTTGTCATCCCTGCTGCGCTGGGGGCCAGCGCAGAGACTGGCGAGCGGGGCTGGGGGAGTGCAGGCGGTCACATGTGAGAGCAGAGCCCCAGGGGACTCTGCCTGAGACCACGCCAGCACAGGGGCAGCTTTCCCATTCCGGCCTACTGCGGGGGTGGGGTGCCAGCCCTCACACAGGGACCAGTCACACGTGCTCGTAATGAAAAAGAGGCCCGACCAGAATGATGCCAGCTCATTTGAATGTGCTGAGCACTGAAGCATGCTCTAAAGAGACAGCCTGCACTCAGATGTAGGTAATCTAAATTTCTAACTTTTAATAAGCTGTATTTCATGTGCTCCCAAACAACACGTTTGTTAGAGCTGATCCCTCATCTCAGCGGGCTGACGTGCTGAGGGGACAGACTCACCTACACAGTCCTCACGTGATGGTGACAGCTCGTGTCCCAGCGGGCAGTCACACTGAAAGCTGCCCTCAGTGTTCACACAGGTGCCACCCCTACAAAGGAGAGGGTTACGTTCACATTCGTCAATGTCTGAAAGGTAAAAACGTGAGATTGATTAAAGAACTCTGAGGAAACAATATTCACACATACAGCATGGGAGAAAGAATATTATCTGACGGTGTGACTCAAATGTTTGAGATAAGCTTCAAGCAGATGGGAGAGTGCTCTCCTCATGTGTCCTACTATCAGTAGAAAAACTAAAGATAGTAAGCTATCAACAAATTTACTTGCATGAATTGAGCAGACTCACAAAAGGTTAAAATAAACATTTGCTTTTTATTATCCTAGACTCAAGATATCATATACTGTTGTCAGTTATTCTGGTGTCTATATCTCTAATCAAAGTGAAAGAAAAATCTTAGACTCATAACCTACTACATTCTAGGAGGTAAGTCCTGTAAGTCATGGAAAAACAAACATGGGCTGAAAAGTTGGGAATACCAGAAGGGTTTGTAATAATACACAAATAAGGAAAATAACATGAGATCAGGATGACTAAATACAGAGTTGGGGCCCACCACACAATGCCATGCATTTTTACTGTTCTGTTTTGTTTCGTTTTTCTAGAGACGGGGTCTCACTATGTTTTCCAGGCTGGTCTCGAACTCCTGGCCTTAAGTGATTCTCCTCCTTTGGCCCCCACAAAGTGCTGGGATTACAGGTGTAAGCTACCACGCCTGGCCTAATGCCGTGCATTTTTTAAGTGAATCCCTTCTGAGTAATTAGTCTGTGTGTTGATTTTAAATTCTATGAATAAACAGGATCCAGTCTCAATATCTCATCTCCATTGAGGCACCAAGAAGCTGGGGCTCCCTGAGAGCTACCCCAGAGCGGGTTTCCCGCCTGACATTTAAATCTCTTGTCTCCGTCACCACAGGTCCTGGCCGGCCAGGCGTTCCCGACGCGGAGATAAGAGAGGGCGAGGGGCGGAGCGTGTGCGGGGCTGGGTGCGGGGCTGGCGAGGCCGCACCTACCCATGCAGTTCTTCATCATCATGACGCCGCTCTCGTAGCCTTCGAAGCACTCACACTCGAAGCTGCCGGGCGTGTTGACGCAGACTCCGCTGCCGCACAGGTCGGGGGAAATCCTGCACTCGTCGATGTCTAATTCGCGGGGTTTAAAAGAAATAAAAAATAGAATGAGATGGCTGTGGCCTTCCACGAGAAGGCGGCACGCATGCGAAGCGCTGGGGGATCGGCGGCTCAGCACGAGACGGAGGGCACAGGGCCTTAGGCACACTCCTTTCCCCAACTGCCAAACCGCCACAGCCAACGGCAGGCGCTGCCTTCTTGCCTTTAAGACTTCTACATTGCGGATTCCTCTGTGGCTTAGAAATGGTAAGAGAACGATGAAATCGGCAACGGGGGCACGTGCCGAATGAGGCAGCTGCCAGTGAGCCTGCAGTGCGCAGGCGCAGCGAAGACCACGCCGCCCGTCCCACGCACTCTGCCCGCCCCGGCACCGCCTCCCCGGCACTCCGCCCCGCCCCGCCAGCCGTCTCCGCCCCCGCCCGCCGCCCGCCCCCCGGCCACACGGCCGCCCCGGCACTCCGCCCCCGCCCCCGGCCACTCCGCCCGCTCCCCGGGCCACACCGCCCCGTCCCGGGCCAACTTGCCGCCCCCGCCAAGCTCCCGCCCGCCACGCCGTCCCGCCCCCGGCCACACGGCCCCTACCCGGCCACGACCGCCTTGCCCCGGCACGCCACCTAGGCTGCGTGCCGAGGCCGGGCCTGCCTCCGACGGGCGCACGCGGAGCGAAGGCCACGTGGGGATGCCTTCCGGACGCCGCCCGCCCGGCCACGCAGCCCGGGGGCCACCTCGGCGGGCGCGGCCACCGCGCAGACAGGCGCTGACCGTGAGCCAGAGCGCAGGCGCACGGCAGGGCCGCGAGTACGCCCCACCTGTGTTTCTGTGTCACATTCAGGGGTGAAGAGCTTACTAATCTATTTTTTTTTTAAATAAGGAAAAGTGGTGTGTGTTTGTCACTTTTTATATATTACAGTAAAAAAGAATCTTCAATAACGGCATATATATTCTCAAAAACAGTATTCTCTAAGAAATCTCTCCCATGCCTAAAACTGGGATTTTTCAATAAATATTTTTCAATAGAGGAGTTATATTTATATAAACTATATTTGAGAACATATAACCTATAAAAATATTTTTAGTTTAGAAATTAAAAATCTTAAATTTAAAAATTTACCAGAGTGAGGAAAAATATTTCTGTCACTATCTCTTTATCTTGATTAATTTAATTTTTCTATTTTTCTATTATAGGATTTAGTCACTGAATAACTTGTGCATGTTCTCTTAGGGGCCTCAGTGTTTTCTCCCAGTTTTATGTCTTTCTCTATTAATTCTCCAATTACAGCACATATGGAAAAAATGTGAGCACTTTCTTTTAAACAAACATCTTTTTTTTTATTTTAGCGTATTATGGGGGTACAAGTGTTAAGGTTACATATATTGCCCATGCCCCCTTCCCCCTCAAGTAAGAGCCTCAAGCGTGTCCATCCCCCAAACGTTGCACATCTTACTCGTTGTGGTTGTATACACCCATCCCCTCCTCCCCCCTCCCACCCTCCCGACACCAGATGAATGTTACTCCTATATGTCCACTTAGGTATTGATCTATTAATACCAATTTGCTGGTGAGTACATGTGGTGCTGGTTTTTCCATTCTTGAAATACTTCACTTAGTAGAATGGGTTCCAGCTGTATCCAGGAATATACAAGAGGTGCTATATCACCATTGTTTCTTAAAGCTGAGTAGTATTCCATGGTATACATATACCACATTTTATTAATCCACTAATGAATTGATGGGCACTTGGCTTGTTTCCACAGCTTTGCAATTATGAATTGTGCTGCTATAGACATTCGAGTGCAGGTGTCTTTTTCATAAAGTGACTTTTGATCTTTTGGGTAGATGCCCAGTAGCAGAATTGCTAGATCAAATGGTAGATCTACTAGTATCGCTTTTTAAACAAACATCTTAATGGAATTCATTGATTCGAGTAAGCAGCTAATGGTACGCACATTAATTCCTACTATCTATCTATCTCAGAACTGCTGGTAAGAGCCACACGAGGTTCACAGAATGAGTCTTATGGTGCAGCCAGGCTGGCTTGTGGCTAGCGTGATGTAGTGTGAGCTTCACTGTGTCGAGTGCGTGCTCTAGGACCAGATGCCTGGGTGCAATCTCAGTCTGCCATCTGCGTATAGGGCCTTCGGAAGATCATTTAACTTCTCTTTGCTTCAATTTTCTTCTCTGTGATAGAGCCCACATCACAGAATTAAGTGAACCAATATTTGCTAGGTGCAGAGAACCGTGCTTGTCTCCTAGAAAGTGTGACATGTATGCTAGGTATTCTCTGCTAAGAATTGGTATTTTGGAAAGGGTGGCCTTCGAACTTGTCCTTGAAGGCTGTATTGAAATGTCAACTTACAGGTGTAGAATACACAGAGAGGCAAGAGGTAAATTACGTGCACAGGTGAAGAGAAGCAATGCATCTCAGAGAGTAGGCAATCACAAAGTGCAGAGTGGCCTCACTGGGGAGTGAGTGCAGGTGGGCGGGGGACCCAAGGGTGCCCAGGAGGGAGGCGGATGCTGGCCTCCCACGTTGTGAAGAATGGGAGCCAACAGTTTTCCACAGAACTTCACACTGCATCCCAAACAATGCAGCACTGTCAACAAATCTCTCTCTTTTACAGCTAAAGAAGGACAGTGTTAAGTGACTTGGCTAAGTTCACACCAAAAATAAGAGGTGGAGTCAGAACAGAAAGAACCCTGAGCTTCTTTGCCCAGGCCTAGGACTGCTTGAGTCAATGGGGGTTGTTTTCTGGGAGGCCACACAATGTAAGCCCTGCTTGAGGATGATAAGCACGGTGGTGATGACAATGAAGGATGGGACTGTGGAGACTTAACAGGCTGGAAGGTCTCGGAGGTGTCTGCAATTTAGCAGATAATGTGATATGTCACCCAGGTCCCCCCTCAGGAAGGAAGGACTCCCTCCTTCTTCTCCCTCAGCTGTTGACAGTGTTGCTGGCAGAGCCCCACAGGCCACCTGTCCTAAGAGGACCTCTTCTCCCCTCCTCTGCACAGCTGCATCCCATCATTGGTCACGCAGGTAGATAACTGCCTGGCCCTACTCAAGACAGCCCTGCTGGCATGGGCTGAGGACATCAGTGGGCATACATCGCAGCCCAACTTCTCCCTCTGCCCACTCTGCTTCTTTTCCTTCCCTTCTGAGGGTATGATCCCAAGAGGAACCCTAATAACCTTCTGCATGCTCACCTCTGCCTCAGAGCCTGTGTCCTAAGGAGCTTAACTTGCATTTGTGTCTGGCAGAGACATACCATAGGTCCCTGAAATAGCCATTTTGATGGAAGAATCTGCATAATTTTTTCACTTGTCCGTTAGGAGAGGGAGATGTCAAAATTAAACTGGGAGGTTTCAATCCTGAGCAAATTTATACTAATAGTATAAGTAGGTAAGTCCCTAGTAGGAGGAAGTCCATGGGGGTGGTAGGGGTGGGGAGTTGGGACAAAAGGGAACTAAAAGAAAGAGAAACTGTCCAGATATAAGTTAGAAATGTGGGAATGCCACTGAGGAAGAGTAGAGGGGCAGATGGTGAGAGACAGCACCTGGGAAGCAGCTCAGTAGAGGCCATCCCTGAAGTCCTAAAGCTAGACCAAACACTGAGAGGCAGACAGGGCAGTGGACTTTGGCAAACACCCAAGGAGAAGAGGCAAGAAGAATCTATAAAGCTCAGAGAGGAAGCACCGTAGGCACAGAAGGACGACTGAGGCATGAAGTACCATGAAAACTCAGAGAAAAGAAAATCTGAAGGAGGCGTTTATGCAGCAGAGAGATTCAGGAGAATATGTACCAAAAGAAAGTTGTTTTTTTCTTATCTTGACAAAGATGTTTTGCAAGCATATGCGGGAGGGGGAGGAAGAGAGGGAGAGATGGAGAGAGAGGGAAGGAGGGGAGGGAAGAGAGGGAGGGAGGGAAGGGAGGGAGAGAGAGGAGGGAGAGAGAGAGAGGGGGGGAGAGAGAGAGAGAAGAGAGAGAGAGAGAGAGAGAGAGAGAAGCACCGCTGAGATGACCCCTGCAGCAGGAGAAGGAGGCTGAGAGGGAGGAGGTAATAAAAACGGAGGGGGGGGCATCATGTCTCATCCTCTGGCTGGAGGAGGGAAAGATTTTATCACCAGAGAGGAGGCTGTGTGAGAAGAAGACTGGTGATGGGAGCCCCAGGCAGCTGTCCATAGACTGTGCCCAGCAAGCACAGCAGCCAGGGTGGTGAAGGCAGGCGTGAGGGGCTGACGTGCTGGGACTGGCACGGGCACAGGCACGGGCAGAGCAGAAGACCAGACAGATGGCTATGAAATGCTTGGGAAGCAGGGGAAGGAGCCAGGAGAGACAGTCCCATGGGATCATGAAGGAGCAGGTAGGAGGGTGGGAGACGAAGGGAAATTCTAAAGAGAGTATGAATAAGGACAGTTCTAGAGCGACATCTTGGAAACGCAGTTCAAGCGTTTGGAATAATTTGTTATATTATCTAATAAGGAAATTTGAAATTTCGTATCTTTTCAAACTCAAGAGAATGGGTATGGATATGGATGGTGACAGAAGCCTAGTTATTAAGAATCCTGTTTAGGGGGATTGTCAAAAATGGCGGACTAGGGATGACCTCCTGGCTCTCTGCTCTTGGAGTGGGAGGTGGAGAAGGCAACCCGAATCACTCGAGTGGGTAGTTCTCCTACAGGATCAGCTTCACGGAATTGCAGGGAAGCTTCGAGGGGCAGCAGTGCCAGGAAAAGGAGGAAAGTTACTCAGTGGATTTGCTGTGAAGTTCCGAGAATCTGAGCGGTACTGCGGGGATTGGAGTGTAAACTGGCCATGCTCAGAGGCAGCCAAAGGGCTGTGTGATCCTTCCCACAGGGGGACGACTTCTCCTTCACCAACCTCCACACCCACGCAAGCAGGGAAGTTCCTGAAGACAGCGTGAAGAGGTAACATGGACAGGCAGGCAGGTCAAAGAGGAGGCAGGAGCGGAAAATAATTTGAAATCTCCAGGGCACGCTGTAAGGTTGCCTTT